GGAAAGAGAAAAGTCCAGGCTGAGCTGCGTTATTGCTTGTCTTCATTATTATTTTCTGTACTGACATCTGAAGGTTGCCCAGGACTGATTCAGGATTGAATCCCGAATCTGGGTTGAAAAACTGAGTCATTGCACAGGTCCAATGCTAAACCGCACAGCATCCTCTTACACTGACTGACTTCCAAGTTCAGGTATTACCTTTTTCAGAACTCTCCAATCAATCAGTTCTTATCTGAACTTTTATCTTATTGACAGTATGATAAATTTTTAATGGAGTTTATTCTGGTCATTTATCCCTGTGGGAACACCTGCCAATGGTAGAGCAAAGTGACCCAAGAAGCTGTTTGGATTTCAGCAGAAATACCAGGAGGCAAAGCCCTGCTCCTCCAGCGATTTAACCACTTCAGGGTTAGAGGCATGGTCCAAGCAGACACTGCAGGGAAATCCTGAGAACTACTCAAAAATTTATTCAGAGCTATAGAGTTAAAGAGGCTTTTAGACACAGCGTGTAATCTTGTCAGAGCCGATTAGATCAAAACAAAAGTGATGAGAAGTCTTCCCTGTTAATGTGCAAAAAGCTCTCGTGAGTGCTGTATTATTCACTAGACTTGCACCTCCTTTCTCGGTGACTTTGTCACCACAGAACATTAAAAATTAATGTTAAGCCATGCTCTTTTTTTTACGGTAGGGAGAAAGAAGGTGTCTTTATCAGAGGCAATTTTCAATCGCATTAAATGGACACTCGGGTTCAAGCTGGAGCTGTCTCGCTGCTCCAAGGCAGCACTTTGCTTCTCAACAGCTAATACCCAATGGCCGGATTTCCTTGTCGCTGGCCCAATTCCACAGTGGGCACACGAAACCCACTCAGTGCTCTGCTGGGACAGCGGTGGCTGGGATGCAGTGGTCCAGCCAGCCACAGCCCAGAGAAGACTCGAGCATGGAGCGCAACCACAATCACACCTGGCCCACCCGCAACATGGGGACGTGCTTCCCTCCTCTGCCCCCAGCCTGTGCCCAAATCTGGGCTGGTGTCCAAACAGCTCAGACGAGATGAGGGTTGGTTCAAATGCAACCTCAAGCTGAAATTATCACGTAGATGTGCCCTTAGGTTCTTCCCCACTGGCTACTCAGGTATCACCTTCTCTCACTCCCCAACTGCTCCAAACACACCCTCTTAGTTAAGACAGCAGAGATGATGATAAAGCTGGACAAGGACTCCAGGGATTAAATCATTAACAGATGAGACAGACAGGATTCCAAATCTCTGATATTCATGCTTATGCCTATTGTGTTTCTATAAAAAGCCCAGGGATTGTACACACATCTTACACATGTGCGCTCAACAAGGAAGAGTTGGGCCTCTCGCAGCACTTTGGCTGAAATCGCTGCCATTTCACAGGCACTGGGGATGAAATTCAAGATATTGTTGCTCTTTGTTCTGTCTTCGCCAAATAATCAATGATGATTTAGCTAGGAACTAACCAGCACACGGATATATGTGTGCGCGCCATAAAGGGAAGCCAAACAGGACTTTCCTTTCAGTTTATTTCAGCTTATTACCCTGCCCCTCAGGACCTCTAAATGTATTTTTAGAAAGCATTGAATTCCACCAGAGAACACAGGAGAAAAGCATGTCTGTGTGATTTCACCACCCCACTACTACCATGGTGGCATTTGACAGCATCTCTGCATTTAAAGTTTGTTTTCTGGACAATCTTCTCCTTTCAATGTTTATAAAAGAGTAATTTTAAATCACTCGGATGCACACATTCATCTTATTTTATTCACAGGGTACTCGTGGGGTTTGGATATATTTTGTTTTGGGGTGAAAAGAAAGAGATAAAGAGTTTGGTCTGTCATTTAGTCTCTCATATGAAGCTGTATGTAGGTAGTTAATAATTGTTTAAGCATGGAATCCATTCTTCAGAAAGCAGGACATTGTTTTTCCACTGCTTCCATTCAGCAAAAAGGTTAAATATTTTCACTGAAACAGAATGGATGTGGTATTGGATTAGAACAACACAGGGCCTCCGTGTCTGCAGAGGGAAGCGATGAAGATGGAAGGGTGAGGTTCCCATCCAAAACCAGTTTAACCTCGTGAGTTTTGAAGCAGGTCTTTGAAGAAGCCAGGAGAGAAGAAGTTTCCAATACTGGTGGTGGAAAGAATGGGGAAAGAAAGAACAGTGATGAAAAGCCAGACTGGAGGAAGTGAAGCTGTAACCCAGAGAACATGTATCATCACCCATCACAACATGATCTACAGAAGAGAACTCCAGCTCTGCAAAGATTTGGGCTTGGGGAGTGAAGCCTATGAGGACAGCCAGGCTGAATGGGCTCATCTACCATCACCATGGACCAGAGAGACCCTGTGCTGCTCCAGTGCCTCCTTCAGCACAACCCGTGAGGTCTCCTCAGCAGCACAACCTTACCTCTGGAAGCTCCCTCTGCAATGTTTCTGCTGGAAAGTGAGCAGACACAAGTGAGCCTCCATCCAACAGCAGCAAGTCCAAGCACAACTGGTCAGAATCAAGAAACTCAGAGAAGGAAACAGAGGCACTGGGCTGAATTTCCAATTGAGGCACCAAATTGGACTTCAGGAAATTACTCTGCAAGGCCTTGGGTAAATCAGATAACCTTTGCAGCTCTCTGAACGTGCCTGAACACTGGTTTTGTATCAATTTGACTGTAGAGAAATCAACAGAGCTAAATTAATGATCTTCTATCACACCTGCAGACATACAGATTGCATTTTAAAGCATTTTTAGTCTGACAGCTTTTGTTTCAAAACAAAAATTAAGAACCTGCTTCAATTGCTCTGATTTCGCTGGCACTGATTTGAAATCAGTCTAAAATCCAACAGTAGACTGAATTTTAAGCAAAGTAAAACTCCTTTCCCATCACACAAACACAGAAAATCCAGCCAGACAAGACCACGAGAGATCATCTAAAATATCCCCTCCCTGCCCCAAACTGGAATCCCTTCTCCCTGCACCATTTCCTCCCAGCTCACATGCCCGATCTACTGAACTGTGTGCGCTCACAGCCACGCTCCCGTTCTCAGCCGTGCAGTTACAGCGCCCATCAAAAGGAAGCCTCAGTCTCTGCTGGAATCCTGCTGCTATTAATACTTCAATTCCCCAACAGAGCTTATTTTAAAAAAAATCACATACGACGTAAAGGCTCCGCTTTTGTAAGTCATCGAGAACAAGCTTTGCTTTTGATAATCTCTATTTCAAGAAACGCTATAATTCCTCTTTGAACAGGATTTATTTTTTCCACATATTCTGTTACTGGTTTGGAATCTCAAAATATATCTCAGCTCCTCGGGGAAAAGCTCTGGCTATCCATCTCTTAACTACTAATCTGTTTTTTCTATTAAGACAGTTGAGTCTCTCCTCCCTCAAACTTGTCAGCTACACTGATGAGTCACTAATTGATTTTTTTTTCCTCTATTTTTTTTAAACAGCTACAGTAGGCTAAAATCAAGCAAGAAGCCTACTGAAGAATTCAATTAACTTCTGGCTCGTTTGGTAATAAATAGTGCAGTATTGTATTCTGCCACTCTTTATTCTTGCTGTAGCGGCTGGAGATTGCCCAGATGTTTCGTCCTCTGGGTTTTTTCTGCCCGCGGGCTGTGCAGCAGTAGCCTCTGCTCTCCTGACTCCAGTTAATCTGCGTGGCTGTCAGAGCTGTCACATGAATGGTGAATCACGGCCTCTCGCTGCAATGGCTGCAGCCCCTGGGGAAGCGCTGGGAGCAGGCAGCTGCACAAACCCCCCCGCCCAAGCAAAGTTTCTCCTGGGTGAGGATTTTACAAATCAACTTGGAAATAATCGCCGAGCCTGACTGACAGGCCCCCGGTTTTTAAAGAACAGAAATTTGTCAGGAACAAATTGGTTGTCTTTCAAACAGACACCCTGTTCAGTTGAGGTTTTTTTCCCCTTCTGTTTCCTTTGCTGACTTTCCTATTTCCAAACAACAACTGGATCCGTTGTCTTCTAAACAAACTTGAATTACAAAGGAATGCTGTTCTGCTATACTTAATAGATTTGCACATTTTTCCCTTTCTTCTTTAGTCTTTCCCAGTGTAACATATAATCCTTTGCACCTGCAAAAGCTCCACAGACTGCTGACTGCCAAGAATCCACCACGTGACCCTGCTTCCATGACCAGAGATCCTGTGTTTAAAGAGAAAGGAAAATAAAAAGTTATTAAATGCTTGAATCTATCTGATCCCCATGTGAGTTAACTCTGAGGATGGGAACTTAAGTGAAAAGCTATTTTTGTGGCATTTTTCAGTGATGTAATAAGTGATTTTTCCCAAGGAACTTGTGTACTTGAAAGAGCAGATGGGGTGAGAAAGATGTCTGGATCTGAGGAGGGCTTGAAGCAAATTGCTTTCAGGGGTTTCATATGTATGTATTTAAGCCTGTGGCCATGCAACTTCACAAATATTTTGTGAATTTATTTTCTTTTTGGCAGATACAACAGTGCAAAGCAAAACACTGAGCAGAGGGGCGACATGCAAGAACCGGTATCGGTTCAGCCCAGATGTACCAAACACTCCCATTTAAATGAACAGTCCCTAGCACAGAGAGACAGAAGTTCTGCTTGCTCCCTTAGATTTCTTAAACCAATCCTTCCCCTTGCACTCCCCAAAAAACCCCATCGTTAAGAAATTACTCTTATCACTCATTACATCCCAGAGCAGGTGTGTCTCTGTTTTCCACTTGGCGTCATTAGGGACCACACACCCTTCTCCTCCTCACTGCTCCCACACACCGTGCTCCAATCCATTTAACTCGCAGCATCATCTAAACATGCACATTTAAAAACACCACCAACAACGGTGCCTTCTAAAAAACACATCTCGGGAATCACGACAAACATTTTGATGAGTCAGATCGGTATCAGCATCAAAGGCCAACGCGTGCTGGGATGGGTTTCATTATGCCAGCTACGGTCACTTTGTTCTTTCCTCCTCCACCCGGCTCCACCATCCCTTTCCCATCTCCTGAAACGCTTCACAGTGGAAGTTCTCAGAGGAGAGGTTTCTGGTTGATGCTGCGAGGACCAGTGGTGAGCTGAAAGGGATGGGATCCACGGCCCTTCTGAGGCTTACCGCAGAGAAATCAGGAATTCTCCTTTATAGCTGTGGCACTATCTCATCCTTTTCAAAGCTGCATTACTTCTACACTATAAAACTTTCTTGAAAACAACCCGATAGCTGGGCTAGGCAGAGATCCTGCTCTTGGGCTCCTGGTTTGCAATAGAGCCACTTCCCACCAGGGCTCATTTCCCTCATTTGCTGACTCTTCATTTAACTTGCTGTCCTCGTGACTCGCTTCTTCCAGCTTGGCTGCAGCTTATATTTCAGTTGAATGTTTTAAAAATCAAACTGTTCAAGCAACAATGGGCAGCCACAGTGTTGTTTGGTATCCTGCCACAGCTAAATGGCTGCAGCTCTGCCATACAAAAGCACTAAAGGGATTTCAGTCTCTTTAATGCTAGCCATTCTTTTCCTGGTGTTTTCAGTACGGACCTCTATTCTGCTGTTGCTGCCAGCAGAAACTGATTTTCATCTCATAAATAAATAAATAGGGATTCATCATTCTTCAAACCCGTAAGATGCTTTTCTGGAACAACTCACTCTCTCTGGACACAGTTTTCTTGCAAGTCAGTCCTGCTGGATGAAAGACACATGTCCCCTAGTAAAAAGGTGCCACCTTCCAGAGCATCTAGGTATTGCCAAAGCATAAATCTCACCCTCAAAACCCATTTTCAAAACACTTAAGAAACCTCAAATTGAAAGCCAGAGTGTAGAAATTCAACAGCTGAAGCCACTTGATAGCACCAGAATGGCTGTATTTTTCTCATTAAATGTTCTCCAAACATCTCTACGTCTACAGCTAAACCTGAGAACTCGAAACAGTTACTGCTATCATGTAAAAAAGCACTATGGAAGATCTGCTGGAGGACTAAGAGGAAAACCGGCCCATTAATACAGACATTCGTAGCTTTGCCAGAAACCCAGCCTATTCTCAGTCATGATGGCGTTTTATGTTAATGGCATTGGCCAAACAAGTAAGAAAAGGTCATTCTTATTTCTTGGCAGGTAGCTCTGAAATCTGGTTTCTGATAAAGCCTGGCTTCCCAGTGCAGTTCTGCACAAAGAGCCTTTGCCAAGCAAGGCGCACGGTGATGAATTCCCATCCGTTACACCGGCAAATTGACAACAGGTATTTGCAACAGTCATGCAACACAGAAAATTGCGCTGAAGGGTGGAGCCAGGAACGGTTCAATTAAATTAGGGAAAAGGAGAATTGAGGCTGGAGAACAGGAAGCAAATTCCCTAACAGTGAGGTCTACTGAACAGCAGAGCCAGTCTCCCCAGGGAGGAGAGGAAAACCCTCTCCTTTGAGTCATTAAAAATAGGCTGGAGAAGGCACTCAAGGCTGCACTGTGGGGAATAATCCTGCGTTGGCAAGAGCGGGATGAGATGACTTCATGCATTTCTTTCCATCTCTGATTTCAGTGATTCACCCAGAGCTCTAAACCTGAACGTGCAGAGAGAGATGCAGGGCATGAGGACATCATTTCAGGAGGAAGAAATGTCACAGGGCCAAGAGGACTGGCAGGACTCTGGTTCAAATTCTTTCTAACCACACTCGCGCTGCAGGCCAAGCTGATGTGCTGAAGGTCAGACGTGTTTTTTCTCATAGCCCAAGGACTCACTAATTGACAGGGCTTTGTGGTAAGATGGACTTGTAAGTTCTTTGAAAACACTTGCACAAATGCTGCACTGAGCATGGTTTTAATATTACTAACTCAGAGCAAAGCATAGAGGCTTGTAGGTAGCGGTAATAACAACATCACTGTAAAACCAGAGCCTTGTTCCTGGAAAGAAATGCAGGATTCATATACATATCCCCAAAACACCAACTTTTTGCCAGAATCACTGGTTATTTGCAGAGATACAGTGCATAGGTCATGCTCCACCATCCTAAATGCTGTACAGATTAGGAAGAGCCTTCCCTTGGTCCCTTCCACCTGGAGAGTTAACAGCAAGAGCTCAGGTCATGTACAAACAAGTGTCAGAGGCAGGCTCAGAGCCCATGGGTTGTGCTCAGGGCCTCTCAACAGGGTCAGTGTGGGCAGAAGCACCTACATAATGCCTGCAGAAACCCTGCATTAAACTGTTTTTTCCTACATGCGTTCTTTCAATACGAAATATAAATGAGGAACTATGAGCAACAACAGGATCAGCCTGGTTTCCCCATCACCACCACCACCAAACAGCTCCTACCTGCTTGCACTGCGCTCCTCCTGCAGAAGGCAGCAGGAGATAACAGGACTTTTCCAGGGCAATACCCATTCCCACCAGCATTCTCAGCCTAGGAAAGCAAAATGACAAGGAGCACTTGACATGAAAGCGGGCCGCCATGCCAAGCCTGTGTCATGTGTATTCTATTAAGCTGAGGGCTGAATAGAAGACTTTGTTTTCCACTTCAAAGGACCCCGTCCCAATCTCTCGCTCTTCCCTTATGAATAACAAATTGGAAATAAATCTTCTGGCTGAAGTGCATGGAAACTCGTACAGTTGGGGCCCTCTGCAGCTTCTCAGCTCAATCACATGGTAATTTTTTTTGTAAACACTTATGTGATATATATGTAAATCTCGCTGTGCATTGCCGCACCATGTAAAGCAATACAGCGGGTGTGTCCTCAAGGGATGGACACAGTAGGAAGCTTGAATGTGGATTTCCAATTATTCACAGGGATAATGTTCGCAGAGAAGGGTCAGGTTTTATATGTGGGCAGAGCCTTACTTTTCTTCCTAATGATCCCATTTCATGCTGTCCCATAGGCCAGCGTCCTCTGCTTCTCACCACAAATATTATTTAGCTCTTTTGATATTGAGAGCACAAGGACACCCCATTTTGCTGGGCAGAAGGCACATTGGAAAAGTCACTCTTAGGATACACCCAAAGCTTTTCAATATAAAAAGCAAACAAAAGAAGAAAATATTAGCATCACTTTTAAATACAGGGAGCGTGGGCTCCTTGCGTGTTGTTTAGGGGCAGAGATCATCTGCCAGCTTTGTGCTCCCAGTGCCATTGGGTCTTGCTCTATAATCAGGGATTACTGAAGTTATGGTGATCCTGGGAAAGTGCAACACTCGCATCTGTCTCAAACCTGATCACCAGACCAACACCAAGTCCTTCAGTGAGCATCACAGAGAATGAGACATCTCTGCCTTGGCCTTGCAATTCTTCTGGCACCAAAAGGCAAGCAGTTCTCATGGCACACACTTCACTTGAGGCCTGCAGCTGAGCAAATACAATTCACTCCAATGATAAGCATCTGTAGTATTTCTACACACCTCTCTGTTCAAGACAGTGTTCAACTTCACGACAAGAAAGGGGAAAATAATCTCTCCTAATTAATCACATGGATTACTATGCATGGCTGTTCCAGACTGAGGAAAGGAAACCAATTTTCATGCTTGCCTTTGCTGCTAGGTATTTCACTTGCAACGTGGCATTCTGCATGGCTGATCCTTACAGATGCATGGCACATTGGCTACAGGAGAAGCATAAGTTTCATGAGCTGATTGCAATTTCTATACGTAAAGTCAAAAAGCATAGAGCCAAATGTCCGCCCCAGTGAATTTTTATGTGCATATGTGCAGCATATGTGCAGTACATGTGTATATTCTCTTGCAGGAAACATGTGAGCCCAAACTTAGAAAAAATTCAATGATCTAAGTTCACTGATGACATAAACGTTGAGACTCCATTCACACTAATGGAGTTGTGTTCACTTATGCCAGTACAGAATTTGGCCATAGAATTAAACCCACCCAAAATCCTAGATAAATTGAAAGAGAACAAAAGTCGGCCTACATGAGACAACATATTTTTCATGTTAAAAGCATTTAATTCCTTTTTTCTCTTCATATAATACTGCATTGATGCCTGTGACCCATTTGGATGTAAATCAACATGGATGTGCTAAAAGCCTGGTTAAAGGAAAGGTCTTCAAAACAGTGTTCCCATGGCAAGGCAGAACATAACATGCCAGCTACACTCAGTTTCCATGGCATGAAGGGCCATGTATGTGTTTGGGAGGAAAATGCACTTCTGAAAAATCACTTGGAAATTCGGATGGTTTTCCT